ACCAAGAGACCCGAGAACTAGAAAGGCGAGGCTCACTGAGCCATTTATCCTTCCACCCTTCAATTAACCCCACATGTGTTTATTGCCAGGTTGGGACAATAACTACCTCACAGCAGCTCTGCGATTTCTCAGCATTATAATATTTTGGAAAGTTCCTCCTCCAAACACACAGCTCGGTACCTCGCAGCAGGGGTTGTGGCCTCCTTCCTGCAGTTTAACACTGCAAACTCCCTTGCAAAATGTCTAATTTGGGGGCCTGCTTCTCAGCACTAGCATGCTACTAAATAAACACTTGGGTGACCACATGAAAGGACATAAAAAAGATGGCTTCCCCCCCCCAAAAAAAGAACCATAAACTAGTCACCCCAGTTTTTCATGGAAGTCCCACGTGCACAGGAAGGGCAGGGCGAGTGTGCACTGATGGACTGAGTCACAGCATGAGCCCTCAGAGTCAACCTGATTCCCCTCTTCCTCTCACAACCCAATCCCAGCTGCCTGCAAAGTTCACGCGCCTCACAGAGGGCAGCCTCGCCGGGACATCTGACTGGTCTCAGGGCGCCCTGGGCAGGAGGCAGGGTTACCTCAAGCACTCCCTTCCCCAATCTCTCCTGAATTGTTCACCAGGAAGTCAGCAATTCGAAACCACTCTGGGGGCAGTTCTACTCGGTCCCATAGTATTCACTATGAGTCAGCATCTACTTGAGGACAATGCCTTCAGCTTCCGTCTACCTCCAATCTCTGCATCATCCTGCAATCAGAATGGCACAGCCACCCCAGGTTATGAAGGGTTCGCCTGCTAAGTGAAGGAGGTACAGATGAGGCCGTCTACATTGCCAGCCTCAGAAGCCCTATGGCACAGTCCTGTAGAGTCGACATGCGGTGGACGGGACTCAACAGCCGTGGGTGTGTTGGGTCTGTGTGTAGCTGGTGGGGTAGTGTGTTAAGCACAGGGCTAACCAGCTCCTGGGAAAGAGAAAGCTGAAACTGTCTGCTCGTGTAAAGACCTGGCTCAGAAACCCCAGGGAACAGTTCTGCTCTGTCCCATTGGATCACCATGAGCCAGGATTGACACTGTGGCAGTGGTTTGGGCTTTGATTTTGCTGAACAATGAACTGTGCTGCACCCAGCCACCAGCAGAGGCGCCGAGGAGGAGAAAGGTGTGGAATCCAGCCCAGGTTTTGTCCACCAGACAGGTCCTGAGTAGGTATAACTTATTCTGATTCACCTAGATTGTTGTCCATTTTCTATATAAAATGTTCTGGTATTTCAATAAAACCCAAACTCCTTGCCTGATTCTGCCCTCATCCCTCCACGCCATGCCCCCATGGCAGCACACTGGACTCCCGCAGTTTGGAAGACTGCGCTCAGAGCCCCTCTCTACACTTGATGTTCTGTTGCTCAGAACACTGCTCCGCCTACAGCTTGCCTGCCCTTCCAGCCTTGGCTCAGATGCAACCAAAAGACATCCCGAAACACACACAGAAGTTAAATGGCAGTTCCTAAGCCCAGCACTCTTGCCTCTAACTCTTGGGCCCACCAGATGCATTTGCCTGTTGTCCTTCCTCAAAGCAGGGGAATGTAACTCCATGACTGTGACTACTCAGCTCACAAGAGAACATCGATGACCATATACACACAAAGCCAAAATTTTGACAAGCAAAAAAAAAAAAAATCACTGTCTATTTAAGAAATACTTTTTGAATTTTTTACCATAAATTTGGTGAAGGTTTACAGAGCAGAATGTCAGTTTTCCAGGAACAGCTCATCTACATTTTGTTGCCACTCTTACCCACGGCGGTCCTTCCGGTGCTGCCCGTGTTCACCTTCCTCCCTGGGTTTCCCATTTCTGTCCTCCTCCTCCTCCTCCTTCCCCAACCCTCTGAGCTCTGATGGTGGGGAAATGTTGCCTTTTGGATCTCTGAAGGGTAAATTTAAAAAAGAGCACGAGAATTATAACCATTTCCCTCTAATAACTGAAGGAGATAGTGCTATTGAAAAGGCACTGGAGAGAAAATGTTTTGAGGATGAGGGCAATGAATGAACAAATGCATTTTACACAATTGATGTGTGTATGGATTGTGATAAGAGTTGTATGGACCCCAATAAAATGATTTTTTTTAAAAAGAAAAGGCACTGTACATACTTGTGTATAAGCCAAGTTTTTCAGCACATTTTAAATGCCGTTTTTGTGGTAAAACGAGGTGCCTCGGCTGATATTCGGGTTGGCTTATACTCTAGTATAGACAGTAATCATGTTAAAAATTCCACATGGCAGGCCATCTCACACACTGCTGATGGCAATGACAACTAACACCAATTTTTAGGAACCCTGGTGCTGCAGTGGCTAAGCACTGGGTGGCTAACCACGAAGCCAGCAGTTCAAAACCAACAGTCACTCTGAGTGGGACAGAAGAGACGTTCTAGTCTCAGAAAGCATTCCTTGAAGTCTTGGAAACCCACAAGGGCAGGCCATTCTGTCCTGTCCTACAGGGATGCCAGGAGTCAGAACTGGCTCGACAGCAGTGGGTTTGTTTGTTTGAGCTTTTTTGTTTTGTTTTGTCTTTTAGAAAGTAATTGGATCATATGTAACAAGAGATAGAAACAAATTTATAGCCTTTCACATCATTATTTCATTTACTGGATCTATCCTATAAATAGAGAAGGAAGCCAAAACTTATCTTCAAGAATATTCTTATAATATTATTTCTACTAGCATAAAATATAAAAGAAAGTTATATATTCAATAATAAGATAGTGGCTATATAAATTATGATATGTTCTCATGAAAAACTATCAAAATGCTAAGTACGATTTCAAAAATATCCAATGCCTAGATGAAATGCATAGACTATGGTGTTTTGTGAATAAGAATAAAGTAGAATATAAAACTATCTCTTTCTGCTTATCAAAATGTGTATCTTGATTTTATAAATATATAATACATAAAATACTATTATAATATATATTGTTTACCAATGGAGACAGAAATGTAATGGATTTATCATATTTATGTTATGTGCCTTTTCTTCAGATTTAGTCTCCAGTTAGAGGCATGTAATACCACTATAATAAAAAGTCTGTTACTGTCTAGCTTTTACTTATTCCTACTGGTACATCATTATTTCTTAAAAGAGTTC